GTGACTTGCTCTGGAACTTGTTGGCTCTTGGGTAGAGCTTGGTTTCAGTGTAGGTATGGAGGCTTTTGGATGAGCTCTTGTCGATTAATGTTCCCTGGAGTCAGGAGTTTTCTGGTGTTCTCAAGTTTTGGATTTAAGCCTCCTGCCTCTGGTTTTCAGTCTTATTCTTACAGTAGCCTCAAGACTTCTCCATCCATACCACACCAATGATAAAACATCTGGGTTAATGGAGAAAAGATTCTCCACAGTGAGGGACACCCAGAGAGGTTCACAGAGTTATGTGGAGAAGAGAAGAGGAAGGAAGGAGATAGAGGTGACCAGGAGGAGAAGAGGGGGAATCAAAAGGGGAGAGACAGAGCTAGCCAGTAATCAGTTCCCTTCTCCACAGCCCGGAATACCCAAAGAGATTCACAGAGTTGGGTAGAGAAGACAAGATAGAGGTGACCTGGGGGAGAAGAAGGAGAGTCAAAAGGGGGCGAGGGCAATCAAGCCAGCAATCACACGCCAAAGTAAGAATGGGTACTGAAGATTGGATGCTTCAAGGTACAAAATTGATAACAAATGCCAAAAAGCGAAAATTAAAAATCTAGAGTAGAGGTTAGACTCTCAAAAATACAATATTAAAAAAACAAAAAAATCACAAAAATTGTAAAAAATATATATGAAATTTGCTTTAAAAATAGGGTCTTTTTTTTTTGCAAGGTACTAGTAGGTTATAAAAATGAAAATTAAAGGAGTAATAAAGGACTTAAAAATTAAAAAAATTTTAAAAAATGATAATAGTAAAATATATCTAGGAATTTCTCTGGAGCTGTTGCTGGCAGTGTGGGGTCAGTTCAGTTTCAGATAGTTCCTTGTTTCAGCTTATACTTCTTCTTGAGGTCTATAGGCCCCTTCCAATGTAGTCTGTGCCAACTACAGGATTTTAGTCTGTCACACCTGTCACTTCCGAAGTGGTTCCCTCTGTTTATTTTGGCTTCTTCTGTTTGCAAGTCTCTTCAGTGTCTTAATTTCCGCCCTGACACAAGGAAGTGAAGGTGGTCATTTGTCTAGGCTCTCTTGTTCAGCCATGCTGCGGGGAGGGAGGAGCACGGCAAACAAATACCACTGACATGTGTGGGGAGTGCTCGCAGTGTCTGGGCCACACTGGATCTGCTCCGCTCACAGCGGGTGTGCTTTCCCGGTCTACACTGCTCAGGCTCCAGGTTGCTCTGCAGGGGAACTGTCCAAAGCGGCCCCTGGGTTGCGTGCACTTCCCAGGTCTAAGCCGCTCAGGTTCAGGTTCTCGGGTGCTCCACAAAGGCGCGGACTCCGTTGGGCCTGCGTCTTGCGCCCTTCCCATGTCTGAGCAGCTCAGGTGCCCAGGTGCTGGGCCAGCGCACACTCCCCAGGTGGGGCGGGGCATCTTATCTCCTCCCCCATCCCAGCCACTCAGTTTCCTGGGAGCGCCGTCTCAGGTGTACCGGGTCTCCTCTCAGGAGATGATCTCTGGCTGATGTCTACCGTCCAGGATCCCAAGAAGACTTGGTTAGCAATCGGGAGCCTGCTCACAGTTTGCTAGAGGATGCCGTCTCTGGGACCAAGTTTGCCCCTTGCCTTCCGGCTCTGGCTGTCGCCCACCTGCCTCTCTGCCTTCCGGTGGGGATGGGCCCATATGCAGCCGGCTAGCTCTCCTCTGGTATTCGCTCCGTCCTTCGTTCTGTGAGTGAGCCCGGCAGTCTCTTAGGTTAGATCTCTTTGCAGGAAACTTCTCTCTCTCTCTTTCTTTTCCTTTCTCTCTCTCTCTCTCTCTCTCTCTCTGGTTATCCCACAGTTTGGATTGCTATCTCAGTTAGCGCCCTCAGATTGTCCTCAGGGCATTCAGGCCCAGTCCCTACCCTAAGCAATGCAGCCCACGTCTCCCTGTCCAGCCCCCACTTGGTGGTGGCTGACGCGAGCGTCTGGGCTTCTTCTCTGCTGGGAGTTGTGGTTGGGTGTGTAATCTGTGAGTTTGATTTATTTATTTTCTCCTCCCAGTTATGTTGCCCTCTGAGATTCCAAAACTCCCTACAGACCCGCCTGTGAGAGGGTTTCCTGGTGTTTGGAAACTTCTTCTCTTTCATGACTCCCTCCCCGGGACGGATCTCTGTCCCTAACTCTTTTGTTTCTCTTTTTATCTTTTTTATTTTGTCCTACCTCCTTTCCAAGACAATGGGCTGCCTTTCTGGGTGCCTGGTGTCCTCTGCCAGCAGAAGTTGTTTTGTGGAATTTGCTCAGTGTTCAAATGATCTTTCAATGAATTTGTGGGGGAAAAAGTGGTCTCCTCATCCTATTCCTCTGCCATGTTAGGACCGCTCCCTAAATACAGCTTCTTTTGTAGAGTTTACCTTATCAAGAATCAGTTTCAGTCTCCACTCTGCTCCTGATAGTTACTGCCCTCCCATTAATGTGTAATTTCTTCAAACTTTAGTTTTCCTACCCACAAAATGGGATAACCATAGTTATCTCTCAGAATGGTCATGAGCAAGAATTGAAATGATGCTATTAAATCCTATAAAAGTGGCACAAAGATGGTTGTAATTTTATTTGAAAGTACGTACTCTGTTATGAAGCATGGTTAAGATAAGCTGTAACTTTTTGTATTTATTTATTGCTAATGGTGGTACAAAACAGGTGCCTTTTAGGAATGAATGTTCACTTGCAGGTGGTTTCTTTGTTGCTGTGGACTTTATGTGGTTTGTTGGATAATTGCTTAGTAGCAGTTTATGTCATTTTGCATAATTTATTTATGTAAACTGGACCTTTGAATTTATCAGTGAAAAGGTAATAATCAAAGATCCAGGTGTAGAGCTGTCAGTTTGCAAAAATTAAGTGTCAAAAGTATCAGGGTGATTTGTACATCTTCCAACACATCTGGTTTAATCCTTTATTTATTTATTCTTTCACTCAATACATGTACCTATTTCCTGAGTGCCCAGCATTCTGCAGAGATCGGTGAGCCAAAGAACCCACTTCTCTTACTTAAAAGATCCCTTTTAATAAAGCTATCATTTCTTAGTATTCCATGGGAAAATAAACTTTCTTTTTTTTTAAAAAAGTATTACTTTATTTCTGGCTTTGCCGCATCTTTGTTGCTACATGCGGGCTTTCTCTGGTTGTGGTAGGTGAGGCCTGCTCTTCTCTGTGGGGCATGAGCTTCTCTTTGAGGTGCTTTCCCTTGTGGAGCACAGGCTCTAGGTGCACGGGCTTCAGTATTTGCAGCTTGAGGGCTCAGTAGTTGTGGCTCTCAGGCTTAGTTGCTCCACAGCATGCAGAATCTTCCCAGACCAGGGATCGAACCTGTGTCCCCTGCATTGGCAGGTGGAATCCTGTCCACTGCGCCACCAGTGAAGTTCACATTGTTACTTCTTTATTGGAGCTCCTATGGTGCTTCTAGTGTTTTGCTTGGGTCAAAGTTTAAAGAACTATTTTTATATCCGAGGGAAGTATCAAAAAAGTGATGAACACTAAAGATGCTATTAACAATTATTCCCATGCACACTAAGACAGGAGGAGGAAGAGAAATTCATCTTGTGCATAGAATGAATGTATTAGGATCTACAATGTGTCTTTTGTTCTTGCTGCATTTGGAAACTGCTTTTTAGGTCACCAATTATTTCTTTGTTGGCAACTTTACTGACTTTTTTCCTTTCTAACCTCTCTGTTGCGTTTAACTCTTAGTAACATTAAGGCAAGTTTATTAAATACAAACATGACAGAGTGAGAGAAAGAAAGAAAGTGAAACAGAGCAGAACAGATGCCGTTTCCCTCCCTTCTGTGCATCATGGCACCAGTTCTCCTGTGGTGCAACCAGATTCTCTTTTCCTCCAGCCATTCCCAGCCATTGACATCCCCTCAAGGCTTGGAATTTCACTCTTCAGTTGGTTTTTTTTAAACTTGTAGGTTCTCCTCCAGATCATTGCTACTTTGTGAATATAGTTATCATGTTTATTCCAATGACTCAAAAGCAAAATTTGTCCTTGCCTATGATCTGAGCTTTGGCCCTGAGCTTTGGCTCCACATTGCTAATAGATCTCTTTAAACTCAAAACAAATATATTGTCATTTTAGAAAAATGGAAAATCATGAAGAGATCTATTGAAATATAGTACATTTTAAATGTGTAATTTGAGGTAAGTATTCTCCACAATGGACATCCCAGGTGGCAGTAGTTGTAAATAACCACTCCCACTCCCCCACCACAATGCAAGAGACAGACTCAGCAGACTCCGGTTTGCTCCCTGGGTCAGGAAGATTCCCTGGAGGAGCAAATGGCAACCCACTCCAGTATTCTTCTAGGAAACCCCATGGACAGAAGAGCCAGGCAGGCCACAGTCCATGGGGTTGCAAAGAGTTGGACATGACTGAAGTGACTTAGCATGCATGCACGTGGTGTCTGGATCCCAAAAAGCAAAAAAAGAGGCTTCTTACCCTAGCACAGTGTCACTTCTGTCAAAGGGAGATGAGAGGCCAGCACAGCTTCGAGAGGAAGGAATCAATGGACTCCACCACCTGGTGGAATTGGGACATATGTACACTGGATGGGGTGCATTTTAAATTATTTATTTATTTATTTTTGACTGCACCATGCAGCTTGTGAGATTAGTTCCCTATCAGGGATCAAACCCAAGCCCTCTACACTGGAAGCATGGAGTCTTAACCAGTGGACCACCAGGGAAGTCCCCGAAGGAAGGCATTGTTGACAGCTGTCTTTGGGAGTCTCTTTACCATAGGAGACAAATAAAAATTACTCTACTTTGAGTTTGTGACTAATTCCTATCACCCAAGATCTTGGATGAAGAGTGCATTTAGTTTTTGCAGCTAAATAGATACCCCAGGTTAAAATCCTGTCATAGTAGATTTTGTGATCTAGAGATCTATTAGTTTGGCAAGGGCCCTACATGATGCCAAGACTTTCCCATCACTCTTATAAAAGGCTTACCATGTATGCTACCTGTAAACAATTTTTATTTTATTTTTTAGTTACTGAAAAACTACTTTAAGTGGAGAGCAGAATGTCCAGAAATAAGTGCAGATCTCCACCCTAGAAGCATCCTCGGGCTCCTGAAGGCGGGCTATGTCGGCGTCCTGAGAGCCCGGGACCCCACCGGCAGCAAAGTTCTGATTTACAGAATTGGTAAGTCACACACTTCTCTTCTGTTTTTCTTGACTGCCATATCAGAAGCTTCCATGAGTTTATATTTAAGAGTTTATCTTTTTAACTTTTAACTTGGGTTTTGTTGGTGTTGCTTAGTCATTAGGTCATTATGTCATTGAGCAGGGCGCTCTTGGTGGCTCGGTGGTAAAGAATCTGCCTGCTAATTCAGGAGGCACGGTTTATTTTTTATTTATTATTTTTTTTGGAGACACAGTTTTGATCCCTGGTCTGGGAAGATTCTACATGCCTCGGAGCAACTAAGTCCATGTGCCACAACTACTGAATCTGTGCTCTTGAGCCCGGGAGATGCAACTACTGAGTCATGTGGTGTCCCAATGACTGAATCCCAAAGGCTCTAGAGTCTGAGCAGCCACCATCGAGAGAAGCCCACACACCACAGCTACAGGGCAGCCCCTGCTCACCTCAACTGCAGGAAAGCCCGAGCAGCAACAAAGACTCAGCACAGCCAAATAAATGAATAAATAAAATTGGAAAAGCAGAGAGCAATCCCATTGTGCCTTCCTAGGAACACCTCTGATGATTTCTTCTGTTTCTTTATCTTCGTAATTTTCCATGCTATTACACACTACCCATTAACATCTAAATCTGTTAGGGTCAGCCAAAATTCCCTCCTCGACCCCATGAGAGCCTTCAGCCTCCGACCCAGCCACCTCCCCACGTTTCCCATTCTCAGCCACACTTTTTAAGTTAGTCATGTTCACCGTTCACATTTTCTCACAGCTCCTCTCCACATCCCCTGGACTGGTTTCACTCCCGTCTTCCTGCTGAAGTGACCTTAGCAAATCATCAGTGATCATCTTTTCACAGCAAACCCCTTCCTCTATGACACCACAGTCTCCTGTTTTCCTCCAACTTAACTGATGATTCTTAGTCTCCTTCGCTGGCACTACATATTCTATTTTAAATTCTGGAATTCTTTTAGACATTGGCCTCAGCCTCCTCTTTTTAGCTATATATCTCTCTACTATAACAGAGAATTGTTAAGTCCACAATAATCACTGCCATAGGCCTATATATAACCACAAAACCCCTGAGATTTGTATCTTCAGCCCATCTCTCTTTGTTTCTCAAAGCTTCAGACAACCAGTTCCCTGTCTCAGCTGTATCCTCCTGAACATTTCACTAGCACCATTTTAATGTGTTCAAAACTGCAAATAATCTTTCCTTCCCAAACACTTCTTTTCCAGTATATCTCAACAAATGGTACCACCATTCTACCTAATTGTCTAAGCCAGAAACTTTGGCGTTTTTAGAATTTTACCTTTCCTTAGTCATAAATCTTTTCCCTCCCTTCATCTTGTTAGGTATTGCATGAAACTTTTAATCTGAAGATTTGCATCTTTTTCCAGCTTTGGAAGAATTTTCCTTTCCCCTCTGTTGCCTGTTATCTGTGTTTTTGTCTTCCAGAATTCTGATGAGTTGGACTTTGAAACCTCTGAGTCTAGCTGCCTGTCTCTTACCTTTTTATTCATACATGTTGACTTCTGGCTCTCCTATGCTGAAACTGAGAGAATTCCTCAGCTCAATATTCCAGACCCTTATTCACTTGTTGGCTGTATGTTTTCTGACATTTGTCCTATCAACAGAGATTTGCTCGAATTGTCATCTTTTTATTTCCGAGATCTCAATTGATTCTTTTTCATAATAGCCTCTTCTTATAGTAATAGCCTAGGGCTTCCCTGGTGGATCTGACAGTAAAGAATCTGCCTGCATTGCAAGAGACCCAAGTTCGATCCCTGGGTCAGGAAGATCCCTTGGAGGTGCGCATGGCAACCCACTCCAGTATTCTTGCCTGGAGTATCCCATGGACAAAGGAGCCTGGCGGGTTACAGTCCCCGGGGTCGCAGAGTCGGACATGACTGAGTGACTAACACACATGCAATAATAGCCTACAGTATCTTTATTTTTCCTCACTGAAACTATTTTGTTTCCTTTAACATTTCTTGCTTTATTAGCTGTCTCCTTCTATTGTAATGCCTTTGTCTATTGAGTTGGATCCTCTTTTCTTTTGTGTCAGTGTTTTAAAAAATGTTCTAATTTGTAGTGGTTGCGTATCTTTTTAAAAGATCACCTGCTTGCCTATCCATTACTGTCACTTTTGCCTGCCATAGCCTCCCCCAGAGCTAGTGGGGGAGGGGAGAGGACAAGAATTCAGCAACTCCTTAGCACAGGTATTCCTTATTTTTCTGGGTGGCTACCCTAGTGCTTCTTGACTGGATTTCCAAGACCACACTCACTGTTCTAGCCTGTGTGGACATGACCGCTACATGCTGCTCATCACAGGCGGGTGTCAGAGAATCTACCTGCCTGTCTTATGCGTTGCCCTTAGCAACAACCTCTGTGGTTACCATAGGACCCTGGCTACTCTTGGTAATCCAGAGCTTTGCTTTTCCCATTTTCAATACCTTTGAATATGGAGCACACCCAGAGGCATTCCCACCTTCAGCCACAGCTCCATCCTGCATATTTTGTGCTATAGTTTCATCTGGCCATCAAATACAGCCTACATTCATTCTTTTATTTTCCCCATGCTCTTAGGAATCTGTCCTTTTTTTATGTGGACAAGGAGACACATGTGTGATCCCTGGGTCAGGAAGAGCTCCTGGTGAAGGGAACGGCAACCCTCTCCAATATTCTTGCTTGGAGAATCCCATGGACAGAGGCACCTGGTGGACTATAGTCCATGGGGGTCACAAAAAAGTAGGACAGGACTGAGTGACTAACACTTTCACTTTTTAAAAAAAAAAGTCTTTATTGAATTTGTTACAATATGGTTTCTGTTTTATGTTTTGGTTTTTGGGCCCCAAGGCATGTGGGATCTTAGCTCCCAGGGATCGAACCCTCCCCTGCTACACTGGAAGGCAAAGTCCTAACCACTGGACCACCAGAGAAGTTGAAAGAATCTGTTTTTTACTAAGGATTTGAGGGAGGGAGGGAAAAGCAGGCTCATGTTCCTGAACCACCAATTTGATCTGTTATTCTATTCATGATCTTCATATATGTATTAGTTCTATTGGTCTTTAAATCTAAAAAGAATCCATTTCCTTCTGTAAATCTTTCTGATTCTTTATTCTTCACACAGTGGTGAGATACGAGTTTTTACATTTTTTTTTTTTTCAGCACACTGGGACCCGAAAGTTTTCACAGCTTATGATGCATTTCGTGTGAGTCTCATCACGTCGGAGCTTATTGTCCAGGAGATAGAGACACAGCGGAATGGAATCAAGGCTGTCTTTGATTTGGAAGGCTGGCAGTTTGCTCATGCCTTTCAAATTACCCCCTCTGTAGCCAAGAGGATTGCTGCTGTTCTCACGGTAAGTGTGTGGTGTGTTCAGGATTGTTTTTGTTCGTCGCTCAGTCGTGTCCGGCTCTTTGTGACCTCATGAACTGCAGCACACCAGGCTTTCCTGTCCTTCACTGTCTCCTGGAGTGTGCTCAAACTCATGTCCATTGAGTCAGTGAGCCATCCAACCATCTCATCCTCTGTCATCCCCTTCTCCTCCTGCCCTCAATCTTTCCCAGCATCAGGGTCTTTTCCAACGAGTCAGCTCTTCACATCAGGTGGCTAAAATGTTGGAGTTACAACTTCAGCATCGGTCCTTCCAATGAATATTCAGGGTTGATTTCCTTTAGGATTGACTGGTTTGATCTCCTTGCTGTCCAAGGTACTGTCTTCAGGATAATGCTTCCAAATATTAGATATATAGTTGTGTGTTAAAGAGAAGGGATAGTATATTTATTGGGCTTCCTTGGTACCTCAGCTGGTAAGGAATCCGCCTGAAAGCAGGAGACCCTGGTTCGATTCCTGGGCCGGAAAGATCCCTGGAGAAGGGACAGGCTCCCCACTCCAGTGTTCTTGGGCTTCACTGGTGGCTCAGATGGTAGTGCAGGAGACCTGGGTTTGATCCCTGGGTTGGCAAGTACTCCTGAAGGAGGGCGTGGCAATCCACTCCATTCATTGGGCTTCCCAGGTGATGTTAGTGGTAAAGAATCTTTCTGCCAATGTAGGAGACCCAAGAGACTCAGGTTTAATCCCTGCATCAAGATCCCCTTGAGTAGGAAGTGGTACCGCACTCCAGTATTCTTACCTGGGAAATCCCATGGACAGAGGAACCTGATGAGCTATAGTCCATGGAGCCACAAAGAGTCAGACAAGACTGAGTGACTGAGCACAATCACACACACAAGTACATTTATTAGAAAATTAAATAAAATTTTAGAAGAGATACATAGAATTCAATAATGGTAAGAGGAAGTAAATTTATTATTTCAAAAAGAAAGAATGTTGCAACAAACTGAAAATATGTTCAAAATTTCAAACCACAGAATTCATACATTTAAACAAGAATGTGATGACTTTTTCTGTCATTAAAATTTTGTTCCTAAATTAAAAATTGACTCAAAAAATAATATTGATAACAATGATAATATACAACAAAGTGTCATATAGGTTTGGCTGGTATAGATTGAATAGTTCTTTCCAGAAAAAAATGTCTTAAAAATGGCCATCATCTTTGACCTAGTAATCATACTGTGGAAACCTAGCCAAGGAACAATCTTAAATATAGCAAAGACTTTGTATATAATAATAATAGTTTACTCTGTACTGGATACTTTACTGAATGTTTTAAATGCATTACCATTTAATGGCTACACCAAAGCTTATGACATATGACTATCTTTTTCCATTTTACAAATTATTTTACTGTGTCAGAGAGGTGACATAGCAATGCCCAAACATACACATTTTGTCAGCAGTGAAACAAGGATTCCAATCCAGGACATCTAGACGTAAAAACTATACTTATAAACACCATTTCTTTTGTACCTGAAGACCATTACTATAGCACTGATTTTTATATATGCAAATTAGAAACAGCTTATTTATCCAGAAATAGGAAAAGGGTTACTTAGACGATGATACAGCCATTTGATAGATTATAGCTTCAATATTTAAAACCCACTATGTTTACAAAAATTGTGTTATGTCAGTGAAACAAAACAGAGTGCAAATTATTTAGAGAGCATGATGGCAATTATGTTTAAAATAAAATTATTCATAGAAAGAACCTGAAAGGAAAAGTGACAATTTGGTAACACATCTCTAAAAGCTGTGTGTTGGGAAAAAAAAAAAGAAGAATTTTGCATAAAAGAACCTTGGCAGGAAAAAATTAACAACACATCTTTGGCTAGGGAAACTACTGATAAGGTTTTTCTTTCAATTCTTAACTTTTTAACCTTAGAAAAAAGCCGATATTACTTTGATATGAAAGACTTATACCTATGTCAAAAATTTAAAAGTAAAAAAAAAAGTTTATGTTTGTTTATTGTACTTTTCTTTTGAAGTAAACTTTTATGAAAGTTTTTTTTCTTCAAAATAAAAATTTGAAGGGTAAAGCTAAATATACAAATGACTCACTGATTTTTCAAAAGCACATTTATATGTGATTGGGGGAGACATTTTCTGTGTCTTATTTATGAAATATGCAGGTATTTCTTTAAATACTTTGCCTAGGGACAGCGAACTAGAAAGCAGGCTATTGTGTTGATGGCATAATTTTTTAAATAAAATCACACTTCAGGTATTGCTGTACGTTTAACTAGTGTTCAAAGAAGGAGTTTGTTGATAGGATCACATATTGATTTATGTTTTGTTATTAACAAGACATTTTCTTTATTTTCAAAAGGATTCCTTTCCATTAAAAGTTCGTGGTATCCATTTGATAAATGAGCCAATAATTTTCCATGCTGTCTTTTCCATGATTAAACCATTTCTGACTGAAAAAATTAAGGAACGGGTGAGTAAAACATCTTCAAATCACTATGCTTCTGTATGAAATGTACCACTCCTTTTTAAATTTAAGAATAGCTCTCTTATTTCCACCCCTCTCCTGACACACACAGAGCATTATCCAAGTGTTTTGAATATTTATCTAATAATCAAACTACTTTTATAAATAAAAATTTCTTTTTAATTTTGAAAAATCAAATACCAGACCTCCCATACATGGTTGGTGAGACTGCAAAATGATATATTCCCTATAGGGGGTAGTGTGACCATAGTTATAAAAATTACAACCTTCACATTTCTGAGATTTTTTCCAAAGATGTACTCATGGGGCTTCCCTAGTGGCTCAGATGGTAAAGAATTCACAGGCTAATGCAAGAGACACTGGTTTGATCCCTGGGTCAGGAAGATCCCCTGGAGGAGGGCAGGGCAACCCACTCCAGTAGTCTTGCCTGCAAAATCCCATGGACAGAGGAGCCTGGTGGACTATAGTCCATGAAGTTGCAAAGACTCAGACACTGCTTAGCAACAAAACAATAACAACAAATACACACTCATAAACAAAATTACATATATGATTCATTGTAGCAAAAGATTTTGAAACTATCAAGTGTTTATCATGAGGGAACTGGTTAAATAAGCTGTGATACACCTACACAATGGAATACAGTAAGATTTGCAGGATGTATAGGGAAGTGAAATAAAAACATGCAGAATAGTGTTTATGTTATACCACCTTTTGTATGAAAAAGGGAAGACATAAGAATCTATAATTATATTTGCATAAAAGTTATCCTCAAAAAGGGTATACAACAACCAAATTGTTTACTCTGTATAGAACAGAAGCAAGTTATGGATGGCGTAGATGAGGTTAGGGTTGGGAGCAAGACACCTCACTGTCTTTTATCTTGTTTTGATTTCTAGCCATGTGAATGTATTATCTATGTAAATAATAAATGTACTTATATTAGACATGTTAACTAAAAACCACAGTATCCAAAGTATGTGACTTAATGTCATGTTAGTTAAAGCAAAGAGATTTGATGTTTTATTACCTACCCTGTGGTGTCTTATCTCAGGTAATATCACTTGGACTTTTTCAAGTGTTGACAATAGAATCTCAGTTCCCCAAAATGCAACCATTCTTCTGCATGAATCTTAAAGGATTTTTTTTTTTTTTGGCCACGCCACATGACTTGCGGGATCTTAGTTCTCTGAAAAGGGATCGAACCTGTGCCCTCTCCAGTGGAAGTTCAGAGTCCTAAGCACTGGACCTCCAAAGAATTCCCTTAAAGGATAATTTTTAGAGCATAATATTTAGACAAACGTCGGCAACATCTAATGCAAGGACACAAACAGGTTTTAAAGGCTTTTATGATTTAAATCTCAAAAATTATTTAAATATAAATACTGATAATGTGAGTAATAACAACATATTTGGAATTTTAGAAAGTATATTCTTTCAGATTCTGAAAATGTATTATCTTACATCTTCTCAGAAAATTATGACCATAGAGCTTCATTTGAGGTTTTCTAGTAGGTATTTCTGTCTGTGATTAAGAACCACCCCTATTCTTTTATTTTCACTAAAGTCAATTTTTGTTCATTTTTTCCTCTCTTCAGTATAGTTTGATAATAGCTGATCATCTCTGTTGAACTATGAAAGACATAAAAATTTCTATTTTGGGTTATATTTTGGATCACAAAACCCCCAAAATATAGCAATAAATTGAACCTAATAAACAGGAGAACATGAGCAAGAAAAGAAGAAAAATTTAAAATTGAGAAGTTAAGTGGAGCATTTCAGTGGAAGTTAATTGACATGAAACATGATTTGCCAAAATGAGGAGGGTGAGGAAGCCCAGATCTTGCCACTTTCTCTCCTTAAATGTTTTGGCAGTACTCTATGGATGACCTTATTTCCTTTTTCTTGAAGAGATGGTAGAATTTTTGAATTAGCTGGTAATATTTTAAACACTTCTGAAAAAATCAAGAACTGGGACTGTGAGGTTCCTGAGTACAAGAAACTTGTTTCATTCATCTTTCAGTCTTTGTATCCTAGCACATGAAGTGAAAGTGGAAGTGTTATTTGCTCAGTCATGTCCTACTCTTTGCAACCCCATGGACTGTAACCCACCAGACTCCTCTGTCCATGGGATTCTGCAGGCAAGAACACTGGAGTGGAGAGCCATTCCCTTCTTGAGGGGAACTTCCCGATCCAGGGATCGAATCCAAGTCTCCCACATCGCAGGCAGATTCTTTACCATCTGAGCCACCAGGGAAGCCTCAACCCTAGCACATAGTAGGAGCTTATTAGAAGATTGAATTTACACATGAACCCTAGCAGATGAGTAACGGTCATTTATATATTTGTAACAAGATGTGCTTTTAATCAAAGGTTCCAAGTCTTTAACTTCAGGACATTATATGATGAGTTTATATAGTTTAAAATGTTTGAAAATATAAGTTCTCAACCATCATAATTTCTCTTAATTTTTTATTAGCCAAGACTATCTGTCAACTGTACCACATAAATTATTCCCCACATACCTAGTTGTGTGCTCAGATGTATGCTTTTATTTGAAAGAACTAATGAAAAGAAATATACTTTTATCATCTACAGAACTATTCCAGGATATTCCATCTTTTGCTAAGAATCACCAATACATTAGTAGGGAACAGAAGGTATAAAATAATTTCTAAAAATTGCTTGTTATTTATTTTTTGGCTGCACCGGGCCTTTGTGGCTGCACAGGCTTTTCTCTAGTTGCCGTGAGCAGGGGCGGCTCTCTAGTTGTGGTGCAAGGGCGTCTCACTGCAGAGGCTCCTCTTGCTGCAGAACACGGCTCTAGGGTGTGGGGGCTTCAGTAGTTGTGGCTCCTGGGCTCTGGAACACTCAGTAGTTGTGGCACACAGGATTAGTTGCTCCTTGGCATGTGGGGTCCTCCTGGACCAGAGATCAAACCCGTGTCTCCTGCATTGACAGGTTGATTCTTTACCACTGAGCCACCAGGGAAACCCCCGAAAAAAAACAAAAAAAAAAAAGAAAACTTAAACAACCGAAAAAACAATCCAAGAAAACCCAACCTTTGCCGAAAAACAACAAAAAAATAAAAAGAAAAAAAAAGGAAGAAAAGAATTTAAAAGTTTAAAAAACTACTTTTGAAAGAAAAAGTATCTTTTTATAAATTCTGAATAGTTATAAGGATGCAAATATAAGAAAACAGTAAGATGAGCAGCTTCATCAGCAGCACAATCTAAACATAAGTAAAATCATTGGCTTCGTAAGCAGAGGGACAAATTATGGAGTATCTGTACATGTTCTGCTGTCTTTATTGTGATGAGAATACCTCATTTTATGATGTTGAGTTTCTGCTAGAAATGCCTCTGCTATACTGGGAGGCAGAGGCCATATCTTCTAAAACATTTTGTCTGTTTCAGATTCATATGCATGGGGACAACTACAAGCAAAGCTTACTCCAGTATTTCCCAGACATTCTTCCACTGGAATACGGTGGTGAAGAGTACTCCATTGAGGACATCTGTCAGGAGTGGACAAATTTTATAATGAAGTCGGAAAACTATCTCAGCAGCATTTCACAGACGGTTAAAGAAGAAGTTATTTAATGTGAAAGGTTTCCTGATTAAAAATTCATGACTGAGATCCTATCTGGTTATATGAATGAAAGAAAAGGAATCTTTAAATTAATGCTTTTCTGATTTTTTTTTCTAATGGAAAAATCTTCTAACTTGAGCAATGTGGGTATTTGGGAAACTTCTTTACTTTTTAAGTAGCTTTTCTTTACCTTAGAAGTAATTAAATGTTAGTATTCCTTAAAAGCATAGAAGGGATTCCTTTTTTGGCATTTGAAAGAAAGTTATCTCTGAAGTACCGTCATGTGTACTTTTGTGTTTCTCAAAAGTTTTATTTTAAAAAACTTTTCTGGTTACGTAGGTTTAATTATAAATGAATAAATAGTCCATTGAAGAGAAATATTTGCACAAGTCAAATGACTACAAAAACCTATTCACACTCTTTTTGGGTGTGTGTCAGATTAGACTATAATTCAGATTGAAATATGAATACAGTTTTACATAGTTATTTCCAAGGGCCAGCAAAGTAGTTCACCTCAGGGAAATTCTATTTAGCATATTTGCACAATAGAAACTTTTGACTGAAGTCCATATGCAATAAACGATTATGTGTTCCATCAGGTCTCTATGAAATTATTCATGTTGATACAATTAATTCCATAGAAATTCAGAGATGGAATAATATTTGGTTGCCATATACATGGACTCTATTTTTAATTGAACAGTAACATGACTACACAAGGGGAAGGAAATGTTTACATTGTAAAATCTCTGTCAGTTACATCTGGATCTTTGCAGACTATGCATGAAATAATTTGGGTTTTAGTATATTATCAGAACATTCTAGCCAAATCCTACAATCATATTTACTTAAAAAAATCAGTAGTTAAAATGTGCTGTTTGTACTGTACTGTTTGTACTAATACATATTTCATTTATTGAGAAAGATGTCAATACAACTTTCAATTTATGACAATTTTTACAGTATTTTATAATTTTTGAATTTTATTTTAAACCTAATGAAACAACACAGGATACAAAATTTGTTAAACATTTTTTAGCTTAGTTGGGTTTCAACATTAATCATACAATATTAGCTTTGTGAAAGAATATGTAAAGGCTGTTTTTCTTTATAAGAAAATTATTCTAATCAGATGAGCTGGTACTTATGACTCTTTGTACATATATCTGTAAAAAATCAAATGATTATGAATGTTCTTTAGAGAACGTCTTAATTGTGATTTAGCATTGGGAAGCTAACTGTACATTATAATTTTTATTTAAAAAATTAGATTATGCTTGTTTTCTAAAAAATGATAAAACATTCTTTATAAAATCATAAATTTAGAACTGTTTAGTTAAAAATAACAGCAGAATAAAACCATTTTAAAAGTGTAAATAATAGCAACAACAAAAAGCTCTAGTTTACCCAACTTTTATTCTTACAAGGTTTACATCACAAAGGTCCACTTCATTCACATTTTGGGAACTTAAACCACTTTCTTCTGACTCTATAAAACAGTGATTACTTTAGCACAATAGATAGTATTCTTAAATGTCTTTTAAATATTATTCATTGGTGATGTTATTAATAGTAAATAGAATTAAAGTAAGTCCAACAGAAGTACATTTCATGATAGGATTTTGAATTTTTTACCAAATGCAGCGATTCACTGAGGAACATTAAAAGAACAATGTAAAATGAACAGGCAGTTTTATAAGGTGGCAAGATAAATCACTATTGAATTGTCTCTATTACTTTACTGTAATTGCACCAGAAGTGCCTTTTGAAAGACTAACACGTGCTCATTGTTACCGAACTGCATGATAATGTATTTGTTCTAATATTGTTCAAAACAAAATAAAGATTTTTCACACAAACTACAGCTGTTGGTTTTTCATTTTTAAAGAATAATACTAAGTATTCTTTTTCAAAAACCGCTTTTCCTTACAGAGAAGCTTAAGAAAAAAGTATCACCATCTAGTTGTCCTCTTTATACATTTCAATTGCAGACTGGTTTTCCCCACTGCTCAGTTCAATACCACTTTCCCCAGTGTTGTTATGCTTAAAGGGACCACAGATTAATTTCATAAAATTAAGCCATGCATAATTTCAGAAGTTAAAACTTAAGTGAGAAAAGCCAGAGTATGTCACTTTATCGGATAATTTGATTTGGAAACTATCAGCCCAGATCATGATTTCAGATTATCAATATGTTTCCCTTACAGAAATAACACAGAAGTCCTAGAGCAAGTAGTAGTTTTGCTACCCACCTAAATCAAGCCAGTAGCTCACAAAACTGGTCAAACATACAAACCTCAAACTAGTAAGGTGATGATGTCTGACACACTTCTTCCTGGTCTCTGGTGTTGAGTTTTGCCCCACTTGGATGCTGTGGGAGAATGACGCGTTACAGAGATGAAACTGGATATGATGGCAGTGAAGTGAGGACTGGCAGCAGAACAACCCCACCCCCACACTGTGGTCCTGGTGGTCAAGGGCACTCGCTTCCTAACCTTCTCCCTCCCCAACAGCTAGCACTTGATTGACTGCTTGCCTCTCTTTGTCCAAGTCAATCATATCAGTCTAATAAATATCAACAAACCAGAGCAGACCAAGAGATCTGGTTTTAAAAAAAAAAGGTTGTTGAATTAAAATACCGTCTTGCAGCTGGACCTATTTTGTTAAAGGGAAGGTAAAACGGGTCAGGGGGGAGAGGGATGTTCCATACATCCAAATGTTCCTGACCCTATTCCAGAATTCAGGTCTAAGCAAGCGGGTGTGCCTGGCTTGTGCGTGCATGCTAAGTTGCTCAGGCGCCTCTGTCCATGGGATTCTCCAGGCAAGAATACTGTGGGTTGCCATTTCCTCCTCTAGGGGATTTTCCCAATCCAGGGATCAAACCTATGTCTCCTGCACTGGTAGGTGATTCTTTATCACTGAGACACCTGGAAATTCCTAAGAGAAACAAACCTCCACTTAGAAAATAAATAAGACACAGAGATATCATATACAACATTTTATTGTAATAAATTTTTGTATGGAGTCAGATGGTTACTAGACGTATTGTGGTGAACATTTCCTAAGGTATGCAAATATTAAATCACTTTGATCACATCTAACATACTCTTGTACATCAATTGTATTTCAATATAAAATAAAGGCCTTTTCTGCTAACTCCAGGATCAGGGTCATCTATGAGTCTATTTTATATTTCCTATTAGATTACTATTACATATTTCTGTTTCTTCATATTTTTAACAATATTTTATGTTGGACATTGTGTTTAGCCATAGAGTCTCCAGGTAATATCTCCCATCAGTGACAGCTCTTCCTTTCTTTTGTCAGGTATCATGAAAGCCGAGTAAATCCCATCAGGTCTTGAGCTGGGTTGTAGATTTGAGGATTCAGGCTATCTCGGGTTCATTCCAATTCTTCATGATTGATTCACTTGGGTTTTTTAGTGTCTTGAATGTTCTCCTTTTTCTTAGCAATTCCTTCAACAGATGTTTTAGTGGTGGCAACTGGGTGTATGTGGGGGTGAGGTGGGGTCACTGCCATGACTTATTTCTCTTCATTTCCCCCCCTTATCTCCTTCTTTCCTTTCACTGTCCTCTCTTGAAGGGACACTACCCACTTGTCAAAGCAGCTGCTTCACCCTCAGAAGCAATACTTATCTGAAGTTGCCATCTCTGGCTCCTTCCTGACACCAGTACTAACCCTCCAAGAGGGCTTCCCAGACATAGGGCTTCAGCCATAAAGAACCCACCTGCCAATGCAGGAGCTGCAGGAGACACAGGTTCCTTCCCTGTGTCGGGAAGATCCCCTGGAGGAGGAAACGGCAACCCGCTCCAATATTCTTGTCTGGAGAATCCCATGGACAGAGGGGCCTGGCGGGCTACATTCATAGGGTTGCACAGAGTCAGACAGTACTGAGCTCCTGAGCATAGGCACACACACAACCTTCCAAGACCTAGGCTGTGCTCAGTATCCTGGCATTTCATGTTTGACATTTTCTTTCAGGGCTTGATTTTGCCTATGCTTTTGTCTAAATTACTTGCTCCTCTTTCCTCATTTTCAAAGAGGAAGACTTGCATCTTCTCCTTAGCATCTGGAGTCTTGCAGCAGTGGAGAAAACTTGCTGGAGTTTGCTACTTAGCAGTCTCTCTGTTAATTTGATGTTTGTGGTACCCTCCATCTCCAAGTATTGTTAAAGGCATAAATCATGTGTAACTTTATTTGAAACTCCTTGTATATCTCATGGTTTTTCTTAAGATCTGTAGACAGATTCTGGCTTAGGCAGTTGACATAAGCCTCTGGACACCAGCATAACTTCTCTGTTATTTCTTATTGGTAGAAATTTAACTCTGTTGATGTGCCATAAGCCAAGCTGCTTCAGTCGTGTCCATCTCTTGGCGACATTATGGCCGGTAGCCCACCAGGCTCCTCTCTCCATCAGATTCTCCAGGCAAGAATATTGCAGTGGGTTGCCATTTCCTCCTCCAGGGGACCCAGGGATCGAGCTTACGTTGGCAGGTGGCTTCTTTACCATTAGCACCATCAACTTCGCTGGTAACCAGCTCCAATTTATTAATTTTCATGCATTCTAAATATCAATTAATTATACAAGTTATTCATTCTTTTATTGACAGTGATTTAAGTTGCACTTAATATTTCACTATTACAAGAGAATGCTACAAAGAACATACTTGTATATGTTTATTTGTTCACACATGCAGGCATCTCTCTCGGGTAAATACTAAGTCTAAAAAGTGCTGTGTTATAGAATATGTGCATCTTCACTCTTACCACATATTGCCTAATTGCTCCCCCAAACAGTTGTAGTACTTTACAATTCTACCAGCAGTGTTAAGAGGATTCTTATTTTTCTACACCCTCATTATCAAGGGTACACTTTGCTACACTTCTGTCATTCTGATGGATGTGACATACTATCTTGTTTTAATCTGCACTTCCCTGATGACTAGTGAAGCTTTGTCTTTTCATATTCTTTTCCTAGTTTTCTATTAGGTTGTTATTCATTCTTGTTCATTTTAGTTCTTTGTACACACTAGAAATAAATATCTTGGAAATTCTGTTTTGTAAATATATCTTCCAGATTTTGTGCCTTATCTTTAATTCATTTAGTTTAACATAAGTTTTAAAATTATAACATCATTAAACCTACCAATTTCTTCCACTAACATATCATTTTTAAAAAATGTTTTCTGAAATTCCATCAACGTCATGGACACACAGTCCTATATTTTCTTATCAAAGTATACCAGTTTGCCTTTTACATTTATATCTTTACTCACCTACTAGAGTTTATTTTTGTGTATAACGAGAGGTAATACTTTTTTTCCTATGTGGACAGACAAATGCTCCAGCACTACAACTTCATACTGGTACAAAGTTTCCTCATCTGTTCATTTGAGTTCAAAACAAGCCGAATATGTAGGGCCTTTGACAAACACATCCATGCAGCTTATCACTCACCACGCCCTTCCTGAGCAGCATTATTATCTTAACAAAGCAGGTAACATACTGCATTCACTCTTCTTGAAATACAGTCTCTTCACATATCCTGTTCTCTCTTTTCCTTACAAAACTGCAAACTTCTGAGACGGAAAAAAAAAAGGCATTGCCCAATTCACTTTGCATCCTCTATATTTGGCACTGAGTTGATTATCAAATACTCTTCAATTTTATTCTGATTTTCACCCTTATAGGTGGGAACTCCCAGCCAGTATAAGCCATATCTTTATATTTAGGTTTTCACACAGAAAGAAAAGCTTACCTTTCATCTACTAGCCCACCAAAACAAGTTCAGTGTTTCTAAATCTCTTTTCAAATTTTAAACAGAAACCTCAAAATAACTTTTAGTTGATTAGGAACCCAAGCCACCCTTTGTACCCTGTTGTAGAACAGTCTGTGCTTGCGCTTGGCATCAGCATTAAGGTTAGAAGGCACCGTCTGCGGGTCTGGCCTGGACTTCTTGTTTTTGTCGTGATGCCAGGAGTGGCCTCTCCTTGACCCAGTTCTGAGCTGGGGCGATGCGCGTGGGCGTATTCACATCCGTCGGGCTTTCTTCATCTTTTCGTTTGGTCCAGAAGCCTCGACCTGCAACGCAAATGGCAGGATGCGGAAACTACCTCCCAAGTCACCGTCCATCCCTGATGGAAAGCGGGGATGTCCAACTCCGCCGCCAGCATTCCTCAAGACGACTTTGGGCGGGAACAGCCGATGGCGCATAGTTCTCAGGTGACTTCTAGAACCTCTCTCCAGCCTCCCCCGCTGCCTGGTTACCAATCAGGTCAGACCGCGACCCAGCGCTCCTCACTCGATCGCTGGACCCGGCGCCCCAGTTAGTTCTGGGTGACTTCAGGTCACGTCGAGGAAACAGCTGAAAGGGCGGGCTCTAGTACGCGGAGCCCAGCGCACTTGCCCGAGCCCCCGCAGACGCCGCGGGGAGGTCTGGGAGCCGGGGGTCCGGGCGGCGGCGGAGCGATGGGGTAGGCGCCGTATCTGCGTCCCCGGAGTCGCCCGCCCCTGTGGCCCCAGCGCACATGCGCCCGGACGCCTTTCCCATAGGCCCCCGCGGCGGAGCACCGCCCCGGCCTGACGCCCTCGAGCGGCCCGGAGACCGCCGCTGCCTCACTCGGCGGCTCGCCGGTGGTGCCTTTGAAAGGCGGCGGGAGGCGGCGAGCGCAATGGCGAGACTGGGTCGCCTGCTGAGCGTGTTGGGCCTGGTTCTGTGCGGGGCGGCGGGCCTCTGTCTGAGCGCCCCTCCCGCGCCCACCCCCAAGAAGCCCATCATCGGTAAGGAGGCGGCCAGGGCTGGGGCTGGGGCTGGGGCTGGGGTTTGTGAGCCGGGAGCGCGCCCTGGGCGCTTCCAGCTGCTGCGCTTAGGCAGGTGCTTCCAGTCCTGGAAACATCCAAGCTTAGGGTTAGGATGTGTGCCTTCCTAGCCCAGGGGTCAAACCATCATTGAGATCCTGCTGAAATATACCTAGGTAATGCTCTTTGATTTCCTGCAGATCCTTGGCTTTTAAAATTGGAAGGGAGGAGCGTGCACTGTGAAGAATCCTGAGGGTGGTTTTTGTGTTTGTACTCATCTAGGAATTTCTGCTAACTAAACCGACTGTATGCATGCATTATCTTTATTAAAATTTCACTGTTTGAGGACTCATTTCGAGGAACAATGCAAAATCGAATTGGCTAGATAATTGATAAATTATGGTGTACCTGGTCTTTGTCGTCTTTGGCAGCGGAGGGCAGCCGTGGCTCCTGTGATCCTAGTAGCAATTCTCTTTTGTGCTAAAGTAAAGCAAGTAATTTTTCATTTTCAACACACTTATGTTCTATAAAGGGAGTAAAATCAATTTGCATAGCCAGAACAGACATTTAAGACTGGGGCGAGGGAAAGCAACCCTGGAGAAATCAGCTTGTATTTGAAATGTACAAAAAAGTAATTTGTGGGCGGACAACTAGAATTGATTTCATTTTAGCTGGTAGTATTGTTATACTTTTCATTCTGTTTTTTTTTTCCCCCTTTATTTCCCACGAAGATGGGTACTGTATTCTGTAACTAAATAGAAAGTAGTTGAGCATTTTTTCATGGATATTGGTAGTGTCCATTTTCATATGTGTTGTGTATCAATATTTGGAACTTGGGATGCATTATTTCATAAGCTATGTAAAATAGTGGTTAAAATCTTCAAAGGGAATTAACTAAAAATGTAATCCTATGTAGGCTTACTGGGTGGCTCAGTGATATAGAATCCGCCTGCCAATACAGGAGAAGCAGGAGATTCAAATTTGATCTCTGGGTCAAGAAGATCCCCTGGAGGAGAAAATAGCAACCCACTCCATATCTTGCCTGAAGAATCCCATGGACAGAGGAGCCTGTCAGGCTACAGTCCATGGGGTGGCAAAGAGTCAGACATGACTGAGCACATTGCAAAACAAAACTACACAGGATGTTGTATATTTTGATTACAATGTTTGTTCCGTATTATCTGGTAAAATAATGTGCATTTTACTATATGTAATCTATACCTCAGTAGATGAGTAAAGGTCCTTCCAAAACAAAAAACAAAAAAAGGATGCAGAGAGACCTTTTAAGGGGCTATTGGAATAATCCAGGTTGGGGGGTTAGGCAGGATGTTTGTTGCTTGGATTAAGCTGGTGTTGATGGTGTTGGAGAAACAAGCATAGAGAATTTTTTCACTCTTTTGCTTTGTTGTCAAGGAAACCATGTGTGTGTGTGTATGTGTGTGTGTGTGTGTGTGTGTGTGTGTGTGTGTGTAGGGAGGGGCCTTCTGCTGGATTTAAGGATCGGTACTCTGACATAGATTCTAGCTTGTTCGAAAGAACCTGGCTTTGGGGGCTTATTTGGCCTCCCTGATGTGGCAAGAGAGGAAGCTACTTACAATTCAGATCAGCCTCCATTACTCATTTCCCAAATCCTGTAGATATCCTTTCAGGAGAAGCTTCATGTTTCATTCTGTGAGTTAAATGAGTGATGTAGTGACATTTCTAGGGTGGCATGTTTCAGTTTCTGAGCAGGAAAAAAGGACATTACTTGAAACGGAAACTTTTTTTTTTTAATTTAGGAATATTAATGCAAAGGTGCCATAATAAGAACATGAAAGCCCTGGGAAAATACTATATTGCTGCATCCTACGTGAAGTTTCTAGAGTCAGCTGGTGCGAGAGTGGTACCAGTAAGGTACGATGCCATAGTTTTTACACTGAATTTAAAAAGCTGCAACTGCTGTTTCCTCTCTAAAGTTATCTTTTATCTCTAAAATGAATGCTTTCTCTCCTGCGATTGCATTATTCAAGCACATTAATGTTATACCTGATTTTTGCCCCAAATCTAATGCTTAGAGTCTCTCATTAAGTTGTTCAAAGTGTGAAGCTACATGTTTCTATCATATCATTAGAGCTGTGTCATGTGTATTAGAGAATGAAATGATAAGTTCCTTTACTCCAGAAAAGGTGCTCCTCATCAGATATTACAAAAGTAATGGAGTAAAAGCACTTCTAGATTCACCAGCTTCGTTCTATAATATTAGCGTAAAGAAACATGTAGGGAATCGAGGAATATTCTAGAAGAGGACTTTTCAGAGACCTTCCCACCCCACTTTAGAAGTTTGGAAATGACTAATACAGCACTGTTGCTTCAATATTGATTGCAGATATTATGATTTTAAAGGAGCTACATTATTTTTGTGGTGTAATGATCTAAGGAACAATAAAATGACTCGTCATATTCATGACATGACATGACAAATGATTCATGTCATTTTGATTTGGAAAGACTTGAATTTTTTTTAACAAAAGCCTTGTTGTTGTATTAATATTATCTTATCACCCCAAAATAGCGTATTTGAGGGTCTTCTAGCACACTCCTCTAATCCATTATAAGTGGTTTCACACATAAAACACGACTGTTTGCTCAGGAAAACCTGTTATTGTAAATAATTTCACATTAAAAAATGGTAGCAAAAGTAGAACATTAATAGTCAAAATGCAGATACTACAGTTTTGAGAATAGTACCACAAAATGGTTTTATGTTTAGATGAACATTTGCTTTTGACATTAGTCTTCAGTATTTTCATAGCAGTCTAATTTTTTCAAATGAAATCTTCTTGGGAACTTAACTAACAGCAGAGTTTTAGAGGTGAGATGGAGGTTCTGGACAGTCCTCAAGACAACCTGCAAAGTTTTGATCCTGGAAGCTTTTTCTGCAAGCTGTTCTTTTAGAAAATAGGTCTAGTAACATGGGTGGGAGGTGGGAGAGACAAAAGACAGGTAGACCAGTTCAGAGATGTGAGTGGGTTAGGTGTGAAGCAAGGAAGGCTTGGTTTCGAGCACTGGTTGTAGAGTGGCAGAATTTATAGGTAAATGTCTTTAAAAAAATCAATAAGACTTGACTACAAGGTTGAAAGGGCACAGGGAGGAATAGACAAGAATGACAGAGGTTTTGAAACAGGAAGTTTTGAAACTGATGACTTGCAGAATACTGGGATTTATGACTGAGATACTGAAAACATGACATACAGGTTAATTTCCAGCTTGGATTCCCAAAGTTCATTTTAAGGTATATTGCTCAGAATTAGAATCATGTGATTTTCTATAAAAGCAGTGTAATATGTGGCAACTAACTTCCCAGAGTAACCTGCAAAGGATTGCCCAATATAGAATGAGACGTGATCACACTGATGATGTTGGTTGGGTTTATTTCTGAATTTCGGATGCTGGGGACTGACTTCTGCAGTTCAGAAGGAAAGAGGAGGTGGACGGGAGACCTCAGCAGAATCCTTGAGCAGGAGAAGACGTTTGTGTTTGGTGCCCTTCCTCCTATCTGGCCTTCACCCTCTGGTGCCCGGTGTATTCAGGTTATTACAATCTCCTGCCCCAGAACTGGAGGGACCCAGAGGGTGTCTGCCTCCTGAGAGGTGGCATGTGACAGCACACTAGCATTTTTGGTCTAAAAATCTATTTCATTTGTAGTGTTTAAGGTATGTACAAATCAGGAGACTCATAAAAGTCTGGATTTCTGGCCTTTATTTTTTTTTAAGACAATTTTCTGGAGCTGATTTTGAACAAAGCAAGAGCTGTCCATTGGCAGCAGTGTCTGTTGCTCCTTTTCATGCTCCGAAGCTGTCATTTGCCATCATTACTAGATATACGCTGTTTTCTTTAAAGAGAACTTATTGAGGGGGTCTTTCGTTTCAAGAGGGATTGGGTGGAGAGGGAAGTGGGAGGGGGGACCGGGATGGGGAATACATGTAAATCCATGGCTAATTCATTTCAATGTATGACAAAAACCACTGCAATGTTGTAAGGTAATTAGCCTCCAACTATTAAAAAAGAAAGAAAGAAAGAAAGAAAGTCTGACAACATGCAAATGTCATCTGTGTTCAAAGAACGTGCCCTGGTCTGTTTTGCCTTCATGATCTCTGAGACACCTAAGTTTGTGACCCCTGTCCCCACCCCACAGTTAAGCCCCTTAATAGTGATGCACTGGCCCCCCAATTCAGGCATGGACAACGTGGGAACCGTTTCTTGGAATGAGTGAAATGACCAGAACCCGGCTGCAAGGCTCCCTGGCAGGAGTCCCTGGAAAGCAGCTGATTCCTCTCAATCCATTCGAGCTCCTGATGGTGGTGATTGCCCATCCTGATTTAAATGTCCATGGGGAAGATTCTGTGTTCCTACTGGCCCCCTCTTTGTTGACATAATCTGGGGAGATTGACCTGGCAGAACAGTGGGACTCAGCAGTTTCCCTGGCGGTCCAGTGGCTAAGACTCCGTGCTCCCAGAGCAGGGGGCCTGGGTTCCATCCCCGGTCAGGGAGCTAGATCTGATGTGCAACTAAGACCTGTTGCAGCCAAAGAAATAAATATTTTTAAAAGCAGAATGATTTTCGCCTGGCTTTTAAATATTAATGTGTTAGCTTCATTTAGAGACTTTCTTCAGTTTGGGAAATGGATGTTTTGTAACTCTTTTTTATTATTTTCAGGCTTGATCTTGAAAATGAACAGTATGAAAAGCTTTTCAAATCTATTAATGGGTAAGTTGCCAACATTGGTTTAAGACAGTATATGTCTAAGTACAAAAAAGTACATATGAATATAATACACGTTTCTAGGTAACTATTTTTCAGTGGTATAAATTTTAGTTTTCTGAGTTATTTTATAGAAATTATTTTGTTGAGAGATGCAAAAATTCTGCATAGAGAAGGCAGATTAAAAAAATAAATGTTATATAGTAGATAACATTTTTTTTTTTAATGTGTGACATAATTTTTGTTCTGTTAGTGTTTGTCTTAAAGGCTTTGAAGCCACTTTGGAGGCCATGACTTAGGGGATTTATAAGTCTTAAGACTGATGATATTAACTGGTTATCTTTCAGAAGGTGATTTGAATAGAATTTGGTAAAAAGTTTTATATCCTCTAGCTTCATCACAAAAGATATGATTGCTTAGCTCACAGAAAAAATCATATGAAAAAATGTGAGACATACTCATAATTAAAGGAAAGCTAATTATAACAATTAAAAAGCATTAAGTTGCAGAAAACAGAAAATGTGCTGATATTCTAAGGTGAGGGTATGAGGAAACAGTGTTCTTATACTTTATTTATGGGAGTTGTTGATGCAAATAATATATGAACAATATACATAAAGGAACAGAAGAAAGTTTTATTCAAGCCATACTGAGGACTATAGCCCAGGAAGAAAGTGCTTTGGAAAAACACCGTGTCATATCTTGACAGATCAGAGAATGTACATCAAACATGACAGGGTTACATTCCTTCCAGGTTTTGACAGAGACGTGGCCAGCAAGTCAGCATGACCTTAATGTCTGGCAAGGGAACCTTATCTTGGAAGGACCGCTAGCACGGGCATCATAGGGAGGGTGACCATTTATCCCTATCTTCGGAGTGGACTTTTCTTAAACTTCTAGATAATGCATTATTTTCTTAATGGCTAAAGCAGAGGTACAGTACATGTTTGATGGGCCACAGACAGACTGTTCTTATTAGCATAAAGTTCAAGTCAAATCATGTATAAGTCAGAATGACTTCCCCATACTAGCTCATGCTAGCGCATAGTAGGTGAAAATTTCTTCCATCAGGGTGGAAGTTATATAGTCTTTTGGGGGCAGTTTTATAATATCTTTTGAAATTAAAAATGCATATACCATGTGACACAGGAAATGCTGGAGAAGGAATTTTCTTTTACAAGTATAATCATCTCCTTTAACTTACACACACTACTATATGTGAAATAGGTAACCAACAAGGGTCTTCTGTACAGCCTAGGGATCATACTCAATATTTTATAATAACCTATAAGGGAAAAGAATCTGGAAAAGAAAACCTGATCACTTTGCTGTACATCTGAAACTAACACAACATTGAAACTTGACTAGATTTCAATAAAAACTAAAGCAAAAAAGATACAGGCCTGACTTATATGACGACCTGGGCCCGAACATATATAAACTGTTGTATTGTTTGAAATACCCCTGGTTTGGAACCCATCCACCCACCCATCAGTTGGGAACTGGGTTAAAAAATAAACTATACTCATATAATAGAACATGGTTAAAAATGAGGGTTGTCTGTGGATGATGCCCTGAATCACTGTTGTAAGCTGAATAGTGTGGTATTGCATACAAAACAAGCAGGGTGCACAGAGGTGTGTGTAGTATGCTCCCATTGGCTTTTGATTTTGAAGCTGGGGAGACGTGCCTAATATATATCAGGTTAACACAGCAAATCTTAATGGTGGTTGTTTCTGCTCGGGAGTGGAATAGAGGGAGTCTATCTTACTGTAAAGCTTTTATTAAAAGAACTTTTTTAAAAAATTGTTCATTTTTTTAAAAAAGCTGTGTTCAAAGCGGTCATTTGCATTCAGTTCAGTTTAGATGAGTAAGTATTTAAAATCAGTTCAATTTAGGGAACTATTTACAATGCCTTTTGCGCGCAGTGTACTTTGGCATGGACCAAGGTAAGTCGAGGAGAGACCATGAGATAGAACCTCAGAAGTAAAGTGAGCACGACTCGCCTGCCACCTTAAGAACTGCTTTTACTGAGCCCTGCCATGCAGTGAGCCCTGTTCTGTTTTGGGAAGGGTGGTGCAGAGATGAAAAGGTGGAGCCTTGCTTTCAAAGTGTTTGTCAATCTGGAGGGGCAGTCAAGGTTTACTTTTGAATGGACTGAGGTTAAAATTACCCAGTCAGTGAAAAGGAAGAACTGCTAATGAGTGTTCATTTCCTGCTCAGTTTTGTGGCAGATGTTCTACCGTATAGTTTGGCATTTCCTACCAGACCGTGACCTTACCAGCAAGAATTGCCCATCTCTGACTCTCCAGGCTAATACCTATTACTGAATGAACAACAGTCTCAAAAGTGATATTTCTCACATCTCAAATCCATATTTAAGTACTTTTTAAAAATTTTAATGTATTTTATCCAACCTTTGTAATCTCTTTAGAATGGCCTTAGTTACTTTAAGAGCTCTTTAACTTGAAAAATGGAAATAAAAACGTAAATACTTTGCTATATATCTCCTCTGTCGGTAGGGTCCAATAGTCAAATGTTTGTGACGCTCTTCTTTTTTTTCTGCGAAGTTTTTTAGAATTGTCATAGTGTTCTTTTTCAAAATTTTCTGATACCATTCTTATTTCTGAAGAGAACTCAGGGAAATAATAATAAATGAAAATTTTCATGGATATTCAGTTCTAGCCTACTGTATTTTTATGACTAGTTCATTCTTTATGGTTAAAACAATTTTCTTTTTTTTGTGAGCCAAGACTGACTCATGGCTGTGAACCTGCAATTGATTTTGGCATCTCTGATCATCTTAATTTAAACCTATTAATAGCTATACTTAGAACTTTATTTCTACTTGATTTCTAGCTCTGCATATTCTTCCCTTGCCCCCAATTTCTTTTACTTTAACTTATCTGTATTCTATTTCAAAAATAGACTTGTTTATCCAAGAAGTTTGGTAGAATATGCACAAATGCATCGTTAACTGCAATAGTTTACAAATAGGTGGGATTGTGTTTTACATTTTTTTGCCTAACTTTTCTCATTTTATGAAGTGCTCTGGCTGCTTATGTAATCAGGAAAGGTTGTTTTAAAATAAAAAGATTGTTGATTTTCTGGGAGGGAGGAGAGGTTGAAATGCACCCCATTTGATGTTGTTTCAGAGTCCTTTTTCCTGGAGGAAGCGTTAACCTTACGAGATCAGGTTACGCTCGTGTGGCCAAAATGTTTTACAACTTGTCCATAAAGGTAAGTCTCAGTTATTTCTTATTATTCCAGGTGAGTTTTTGTAATTTTCCACTAGGATAATTCTTTTCTAAAGCACATGGTGATACCTCCTTCACCATTACTGTAGTCTCATCACCCCTTTAACTCTTGAGGTGCTGGTTCTTTTCCACCCTGTGGCAGCTCTCCCCTCATTTAATTCTGGACTCCAGGGAACCCTCCAGTCCTGCTGACCAGCCCTCTATACTCGGGCTCATTAACGTGAACCCAGATACTCATGGTGGCTGAGTAAGCAGTCTCTATTACGTACTGGGCATTGTTCATAGGTCATTAATTCTCATCTCCCCTCGCAAGGTGCCCTCAACCCATCCAATCCTGTTTGACCTTGCTTCACACTCACCTTCAACCCCAAGGCTCCACATGTGGTGACTTGTGTAGCCTCTTGGCTTCTCTGTAACCTCACATTGCACCTGCCTTTACATCATACCTCAAGCTCTTGGGATTTCGCCCCAGAACTGTCAGCAGCAATTTTCTAATTAATCTTGCTGGCCCTACCATCTACCCAACCTTAGATAATTACCTAAGAAACTGCCTTTAGCATATGAGATACTTGTTGGAAAATGTTGACTGGCTTAGCTCGTTGACCTGTAGCCTTCTATGGTCGTTGAGTCAAGATAGTCTGTGAGTGAAGAGTGTGTCCACAGCCCACCTTTTCCATCCAGCCTCTGTGCAGGTACTTGGAGTCAGACTGGTGTTTCTAGAACATACGCTGTGTCCTACTTTCAAATCTGCTTAGTCTTGTTTCTTTCTACCTCATCTGTTATTTGTGCCTTAGCCAGCTTTCAGGGCTAAGGGTTGTGCACCTTATGGGAAGGTGTCCCTCTACCCCCACTAGAATGGCATCCTTCTCCTGCTCAACTTATAGAGTATTTTGTTGTTATTGATCAGTCACTAAGTCATGTCTACCTCTTTGTGACCCCATGCACTGTAGCCCGCCAGGCTCCTCTGTCTGGGATTTAACAGGCAAGAATACTGGAGTGGGTTGCCATTTCCTTCTCCAGGGGATCTTCCCGACGCAGGGATTGAACCCTCATCTCCTGCATTCTTTACCACTGAGCTACCAGGGAAGCTCTCTGAGATTAAGGAGCTTTTATCTCAGAGACTCAATATCTTGAAGTTAGCTATTGATGTCTCATCAGATTGCATGGTTCTGATACCCTTTGAGGCATTCCTCGTTTCATACCATATGGTTCTGTGTACTTAGTACCTGCTCAGCGGACATTTTTGGAAAAACTAATGAGCAAAATTGAAATTTAACAAAATTATGACAAGAATGATTTAAAAATGCATTTGGGAAGCATATATGTGAATATTATAAAGTAACTCTTCTTTTCACAAATAGAGACTTGTGTAACCTGGTTTGTTCAATTAAAAGAAAAACAAAGGAGTCACCTAACTGCCTAACCCGTAAGACACACAAGGTCTATTTGACAACTTGAAGATTTCAAAACAAAGAAAAAAGCTCAGCAATCTTGAGCTTCCATTTAGGTATAGCCACTGGGGTCCACAAGCCCTCAGAAGAAGCAGCCTTCAAAAGTGATTTCTCTTAGGTCTGTATGGTTCCATTCTGTGTCCTTTGTTCTGCTGATCACAACAAATAAAAGATGCGGTCCCAGCAAGTGGGGATTTAACATTTCGTCCAGAAATCAAATTTGGTACATATGGAAACAGCAGTTCTGTCTTCTTTTGTGTTTATTGTTAAGTGAATGCCCTAAGACCTTTCAACATAGCATACGCAATTCTAACTTCTAAAAGTAAAAGTTTCCTAGATTTGTATATGAAATATTAAAACCATATCTTGAAGTAGAAAATATAAGAGTTAATACTGTTCTATATTTTTCTTACTAAGGAACAGAAAAAAATTCCCTAACATTTTCTGTATTTAAAATGCGTTACTGGAGTAGGAAATGGCAACCCACTCCAGTATTGTTGCCTAGAAAATCCCATGGACAGAAGAGCCTGTTGGGCTACAGTCTGTGGGGTTGCAAACAGTCTGACATGACTGAGAGAATGAGCACGTGCGCGCGCGCGCGCGCGCGCGCACACACACACACACACACACACACACACACACACTTAGGTTATATTTTACAGTCTCTGCAGGAAAACCACTGTTTTTAAGGAAGTTACAAAACCCATTTTTGTAACTATCAGTACATATGGGTTTCATCTTTAGTTAATCAGAAAATTCAGTCACCAGAATACTTTTTTCCCAGTCACACTAGTTTTAATTCCCTCTGAGAGCCCTAGTACCTTTGTACTTCTTTAGTTTACTCTGTGAAAAGTTGTTACTTTTGCTTGCTGTTTCTTCCTTCCAAATTATGGCTTTCATCAGATTAAATCTGATTGGCTGGAGGCTGTTACTATACATTCTGAGATAATGGAGGAAAATGAAAACCTCCATTCAGAGTAGTTTCAAACCTGGACAGTCATTTAAAACAATAGGATTTGTGCAAAATATATAAATAGGCATTTATCTCGCATCATCTTCCATATTTACAGTCCCTCAATGATAACATGTGTTGTTTGGTAGTTGACTGGCAGATGTCTGTCTCTTTCCCAGCACAACTGAGTTTGGATAGTGTGGTAAATTAAACCTTAAGTTTATGTGGGTGCTTGGTCTACAGAGAGATGGAGTGATAACCTGCTGATATAAGAGAAAATGCTAGCCTACTACTATTGATCTTGAAAATTCCTTAGAAATCCATGTGTGACTCAAGTGCCCATCTTGTTAGGACAAACTGAATGTATACATTTTGTTATGAAAAGTTTGAGTAAGCTTAGTTTTTCTCTTTACTCTGCAAAGAGTTTTGGCAAAGGAGACTATTTTCCTGTGTGGGGCACCTGCCTTGGATTTGAAGAGCTTATTTATCTGGTCAGTGGAGAGAGCTTATTAACTCTTACAAATACTGTTGGAATTAAACTGCCGCTGAACTTCTCTAGAGGTAAGAATTTTCTTTTTGTTCCTTCAAAAAAGTAGAAACTGGGTAAGATTAGTAAGTTGCAAATATCCAAGTCAAAAAATGTTTGTAACATTTGTTAATTTTTAACTTATTTACACAGGTTGAAGGTGTAACTCTTTGTACTGAGTTATAAAGGTCCCTTAAGGGATTTTGCGTGTTTATAACTTACTGCTTCTAGTGATATCAGGACCATGCATGATGAAAAACTCTAAAATGAGACCCTGGTTTTGAGTTCTAACTTTGTTACTTCTGCCTTGGGGGATCATTTAACCTGTCTTAATATTTACAGATGATTTCTAAAAGCATTTACTCTGAGGGTTTTTTGTGAGGGTTAAATAACACAGTTTTTTCCGGGTAGTATGCTAAGGACTTTTAACATAACTCTCATAAATGTTAGCTTCAGTTGTGTCCAACTCTTTTCAACCCTATGGACCATAGCCCACCAGGCTCCTCTTCCCATGGGATTTTCCAGGTAAGAATACTGGAGAAGGTTGCCAGGCCCTCCTCCAGGGGATCTTCCTGACCCAGGGGTTGAGCCTGCATTTTCCCCTTGGCTGTGAACTGTGTTTTGACCCCAACTGGGGTATACTCCATCCTAGTATGGCACCTAGAGGCAGCTCAGGCTCCAGGTAAAGGTCATCTCCCTGACCAAACTACCCTTACATCAGATACCAGCCTCTAGTCATGCCCCAAGGCTACTCACACTTCTGATCAACTGGCCATGAGATTGGGGATACCCATGGGTTTAATGAAGCTTTCCAGGTGGCTTCCCAGGTGGGAAGCTTTTTGTTTTTGAAGTGGGCGAAGCTCGGGGATGAATGGGGTTGGGGCACAGGGGCTGTGAAGTAACTAAGGCTGAGAAAGGGTGCCTGGGCGGGGGGTGGGGAGCACTCTCCCTCTCCTCCTGGGTGGACAGTCCTTGGGTGGGGGGCGGGGAGCACTCTCCCTCTCCTCCTGGGTGGACAGTCCTCGGGTGGGGGATGGGGGACGCGTTCCCTCTCCTCCTGGGTGGACAGTCCTTGGGTGGGGGATGGGGGACGCTCTCCCTCGCCTCCTGGGTGGGCAGTCCTCGCTTGTGCCAACTGCCGAGGCACTTGGGACCCCGGGCTCTAGTGCAGCCGCATTGGAAGTGGGGGCGGTGGGCCCGGGCTTGAGGAAGAGGTGGCCGACAGCCCGTGTTCAACTGAATCCAAAATACGCATGTTTCCTGGGAGAAACAACTGTTGGTGGTGAAATCCTCGATGGGGGAGGGGTGTGGGGGCAGCAGAATGGAGGAGGCAGCGAAATAATCTAATTATCATACCAATAAAGTGTTATTATAAGGAAACCTCGGCCTGTAGGTGATGACAGCAGTGGGTAGGGCTGGTCTCCGTACTCTTCAGTGAGTACCGAGGGCTTCCCGGGTGGCGCTAGTGGTAAAGAACGCTCCTGCCAATGCAGGAGATGTAACAGACTGGGTTCAATCCCTGGGTTATAGAGAGATTCCCTTGGAGGAGGGAAACCCACTGGAAACCTGGAAACCCACTCCAGTATTTTTGCCTGGAGACTCCCCATGGACAGAGGAACCTTGGCGGGCTACAATCCATAGGAGTGCAAAGAGTCAGACGAGACTGAAGCAACTTAGCACACACTCACGCACAGGTTTAATAATGCACTGGAATGGCTGACAGAGGTCAGAAAGTGCTGTGTTTGCAATAAGAGTTTTACTGTAAAGGATTCACGTGGGCTGAGGTCTGGAGGGAAGGCAGAACCTCCTGCCCTCTTTCTGTTCACTCAGGGCACGTCACCCTCCTGGTGCATCAGTATGTTCACCAGCCAAGTGGCTCCAGGGAGCTTTGGTGCTCAGAGTTTTTATTGCAGGTTCTTTGTGAAAGCATGATTGATTACATCACTGGCCATGTTATTGAACTCAGTCTCTAGTCCCCGTCCGTCCCATCCCTGGAGATCAGGTTGGCTCAAAGTCAGATTTACTCTTGAAGTCCATTTCATATACATGTGCTGCAGATTCAGGTAAAGTCAGACCTGCTGTAATCACGTGTTCAGTCTCTCTGATCACCAGCCTCATCCCAAAGCTGTCCAGGGGCCACCTATGCCACCTCATGAGCATTACAAAGACATGACCATCCTTGGCGAATTTCCTTGAGATTTCCAAGGGTTTTAAAAGCTCCCATTTCGGAACCCAGGACAAAGACCAGACAAATTCTTTATTTGCCAGTTTGTGTAAATAGATACTGATTGTTGGGAGTTCCCTGGTGGTCCAGTGTTGAAGAATCCACCTGCCAATGCAGGGGAGACAGGTTTGATCCCTGGTCTGGGAAGATCCCACACGTCATGGAGCAGCTAAGCCTGTCCTCCACAGCTACTGACACCCATGTGCTCTAGAGCCTGTTCTCCACAATGAGAGAGTCCACCCACAATGCAAAGTCTGTGCACAACAACTAGAAAGTAGCAACCCCCCCCACCGCCCCCCGCAGTGTAACCAGAGAAAGCCCTCAGGCAGCAGTGAAGATGCAGCACAGCCAAAAAATAAAACTAAAAAAAAAAAAGATGACTCTTGTAGGATACTTGATCTCAGAATCATCAGAATTGAATGCTACCAACCTTTCTTGTTCTCTTAAGGATTTTGGGATGGATAGCAGTAGTTGTTATTCCCAGAATTTATAAAATGCCCTTATACTTTTCAAAGCTCTTTCTCAGATTCAAATAGTGCAAAAATCATATGGGAAAGATATGTCTTGGGTCAGTTTCTTTTGGTTGTGTGTGTTTGAAACCCAGTTTATACAAACCAGAAATGAAATCCACTGAAATAAGGAATCAGCAGATTTTGATGATCTGGGGCTCTGGGGTTCTTATGACCATTAGCATCCTGAATGATAGGCTCACTTATGACAGGCTCATGGGGCCTTGACAACCTCCTTGACTACCACCTTGACGACCTCCTTGACTACCTCCTTGACGACCTCCTTGACTACCACCTTGACGACCTCCTTGACTGCCACCTTGACGACCACCTCAGACTCCAGAGTTTTCAGTGAAGTAAATTGCTTCTTCTGGTCTGTCTAGTGGTTAGTGACCTGGTTTGTGTTCTTTTCCATATCGTTGGTATTTTTAACCATTTAAGTCCCAGATACTTTGAAAATGTGTTGGGAGTTCTAGATCCTTTCCTGAGCAAACAAATATATACACATGTGGACAATTTTACCTATTTTTCAGCCCTATCTAGAGAACTCAAGTTAAAATCCTCTGCTTACTCTGTGGCTAGCCTGCTCATTATCATGTCCAAAGAATTTTAGTTATTTATGTTGTAATTCTAGAGGAAAGGTACTTTAAGTATGGAACATATTTGGAACTGTGTGTTGAACATATTTTGTGCCTGATTAGAATACTCCTGTGGAAATGATGTGTTTGCAGATCATTTAGTCATCTTGATTGTGTCTTCACAGTGGCCTCTCTTTGACTGTGACTTCAGCGGACTTTATTTTTTGTGTGTGTTTGAATGATTTCTCTTGGGCTTAAATTTTTTCAGGTACATTGCAGAGCAGAATGTTCCAGAATTTTCCTGCTGACTTGCTGCTGTCATTAGCAGTAGAACCTCTGACTGCACATTTCCACAAGTGGAGCCTCTCCGTGATGGTATCTCATTTATTATGCAGTGAAATCCGTGCTGAATTTAGATTTACTACAGAAGTAATCATTTTGGTTTTATTTTTGCACTTCAGAATTTTACGAAGAATGAAAAGTTAAAGGCGTTTTTCAATATATTAACTACAAATACAGATGGCAATATTGACTTTATTTCAACCATGGAAGGTATGTATCACTGCACATGTATACTTTATTATATTTATGAATTTTGATTCTGTAGTTCTCTTATGAATAAAATCTCTTTATGAATAAAATCATTTAAAATCTCTCTTAAAAATAAAATCATGAATGAAACTTGGGGGACTGAAGTTGGACGTTAGGGCATTATTGGAGAAAAGAGGCCCATGTTTCGCTCAGGTTCCAAAATCAGTTGCAGATTACCTGGGTCACCTTCTGGGTCAAGGTGATAAAAATGGAAAGGAGGTGAAGACTGGGGAGGATCAATGAAGATAAATGGAGAAGATGACTTCTGCTTCTAGCAACATTACAGATTAAGTACATGCTCCAGACAACACAAAAAATGTGATTGCCATGCAGAAAAAAACTCCCTAAATACACTGATGAAAGGACAGTAAGGGTATTTAGGTCCTAAACTCCAGGAGTTAAATGGAGCATTTAAACCAGCATTGTTGCTGAATCAGGAGAACTTGAGGTGAAGCTCAGGAGCATCCTCTCTGGAGAGTACCCTCACGGAGCAGGACCCGAAAGGCTGGACCCTCAACAAATTCTGCGTGCAGAACTGCTCAGAGCTAAGAGCTCATTGAGAGCTGAGACTGTGTCTTATTCTTCTTTGGGTTTCTAGGAGATGTTGAACGGATGACTGATTATGTAAATGGAAGAGATTTGGCTTGGAAATTAGGGCGTCAGGCTTCCGTGCTGGCTGTGTTTCTGGCTGTGTCATCATACCAGGCTCATTTGAAAATTTTATCTTCTGAAAACTTCCTGATACCTGCTAGATAGAAACACTGGAGATGCTCTTATTTGCATATTTCCTTCCTATTCTTGATACTTTTGTTCTAAGTTAGTGAGACAGGGCCTGGTTCCTACGTTGTCGGGAACCTGTGGTGATCTTTCAGTGATGCAGTTTACAAAAAAAAGAGAGTAAATCTCAACTTGTTTCTGAATTTCACTGTATCTCTGTGGAAACACTCATCTGTCTATCTCTTTTTCTATCTATCTGAAAAATCTTTGTTACAATTTATCACTTGTTGTTCAGCTGTGAAGCTGTGTCCAACTCTTTGTGAACCCATGGACTGCAGTATGCCAGGCTTCCTTGTCCTTCAGTATCTCCTGGAGTTTGCTTACCATTGAGTTGGTGATGCCATCCAACCATCTCATCCTCTGTCGTCCCCTTCTCCTCCTGCCTTCAGTCTTGCCCAACATCAAGGTCTTTTCCAGTGAGTCAGCTCTTCGCATCAGGTGGCCAAAGTATTGGAGCTTCAGCATCTGTCCTTCCAGTGAATATTCAGGACTGATTTCCTTTAGGATTGGTTTTATCTCCTTGCAGTCCAAGGGACTCTCGAAGAGTCTTCTCTAACACCACAGTTCAAAAGCATCAGTTCTTTGGCATTCAGCCTTCTTTATGGTCCAGTTTTTACATCCATACGTGACTACTGGAAAAACCGTAGCCTGACTATATGGACCTCTGTCAGCAAAGTAATGTGTCTGCTTTTTAATATGCTGTCTAGGTTTGTAGTAGCTAGGGTGTTTGTTATCCTAAATAGTACTTTTCATGTCTCAAAGAAATATATTAGATGATCTGTCTTTCAGTTATCTGTGTGTAGCAATTGATTTTCTAGTCATCTAGCCAATGGGTCTCCTGCTGGTGTCACCACATGTGGTCCCAGACAGAGAGAGTATGTTACAGGGAGGTGGGGGCACAGTGGGAGAGGGATGGAGCAGTGACCACAGCTACTTGGTCTTAGGTTCTCCTCTTGTGAACCTTGCCTGAGGAAGGGTAGGATGAAGTAGGTTTTCTTTGTGTGATGTGATCTCTCCTAGCAGAATCTTATGGGGTGCAAGAGGACAGTGCTTTTTTCCCTGGATACCTCTACTTTCCGGTAACTCATTGCTCCAGGTATTTTCATATGGTAGTTAGGGTTTTAATTTCAATGCAAAAGTAATAGAGGACTTCTTTTTCAATTAATACGCTATTGACTGGGGTTTTTTTTGCAGAAACTAATGCCTGTGGCTAGCGATTTCTTATGTAAGTGAATATTAAAACACTGCAGTCAGTAATGTTTGGGTAACAAAAGACATTTTTTTTTTTTTTAAACAAAAGACATGTTAATACATCTCTGGTCAATAAATTGTTAAAATGAGGAAAGGCATATGTGTAAAGAAAAAAATGAGTATGTAAATTTCTCAGTAGGCAAATATCACACATACTCACGTTTTTAAAAAGTTACAGAATTTTAAAAACACAGTTAGAAGTAGGCGAGTAATATAGTGACATCCTGGGTATCTTTCTCTAAGTTTCAGCAACTTTCACATTCATGTGGCCATTCTTATTTCATACAGTCCATGGGGTCACAAGAGTTGGACATGGCTTATTTCATATCTACTTTTTCCTCCTACTAGAACATTTTTTGGAGTAAATCCTAGGGATCATATCATTTTTATATATAAAAGTAGTTAATAATTCTAAGAATAAGTGAACTATAGTAGCAAAAATCTTTCAAATTTAAACTTCTTTAAAAAACTATTTAAAAATTGATTCAGTGAAGTCATGAACCATTCCACAGACTGTGAGAGAGGCACAGTGTATGCTGAGACACACTAGCTAACCTATAAAGACACCAGAGATGCTGGCATAGTTCATTCTCCCATGAATAAGTTATTATATCCGAGGGGATGAAGATGTGGTGTGAAGTGGGGGGAAAAGAAACCCATCGTAGAAGAAACTTGTCACTGATCAGATGTACCGCTGACTATTGAACTGGTCTGTATTCAGAGGCTCAGTTATTTCACTCTACTCTGATCATGCTTACTCCTTGGAAGAAAAGCTATGAGAAACCTAATGTCTGACTCTTTTTGACCCCATGGGCTGTAGCCCATCAGGCTCTATTCTTGGGATTCTCCAGGCAAGAATAGTCGAGTGGGTGGGTAATGGTGCCCTTCTCCAGGGGATCTTCCCGACCCAGAGATTGAACCAATGTCTCTATGTCTCTTGCTTTGACAGGCCGATTCTTTTTACCACTAGTCACCTGTGACTCTCATAAAAGGTTATAAGTCAGTGAAATACTGTTACTGTGAACTTTACATTGTGAATTGAAATTCTTTGTTTCTGATAATAATATGCACAGTTTTACTTTGTCTGACATTGTGGGCTATAAAAGTAATGTTTTACACAGAATATACAACATAATTGTATCATCTTAGACCATTGTTACCATTTAATACTCACCAGTCTATTCTTTGTGCAGGATACCGGTATCCAATATATGGCGTCCAGTGGCATCCGGAGAAAGCTCCTTATGAGTGGGGGCAATTCGAAGGCATTTCCCATGCACCTAATGCTGTGAAGGCTGCATTTTATTTAGCAGAGTTCTTTGTGGCTGAAGGTAATATGAGGCAGAGGTTATAATTTCATCACTCTAGTGTGGTTCTGAAGGAAATTGCCCTCATCTGAACTTCTGTGTGTTCTATAAATGTTCTGTAGGTTTAACTTTTAAGAAAACTGAGAGCCCTGAAATTGAGATATTAGTCATTTAAATCAAATCAGGACCATTATTTCAGTTAACAGTATTGCATTCTCTAAAGTGGGTTGAATTCTTAAACAACCACATAAAGATTTTCTTTTTTCTGTCTTTCTTGATTCCTTTTTTAAAGATTTTTTCCTGTTACTGTTGGGTTCCCTGGTGGCTCAGTGGTAAAGAATCCACCTGCCAAAAAAATTGTACTTCGAAAAAAAAAAAAAAGAATCCACCTGCCAGTGCAGGAAATGTGGTGGGGAAGATCCCTGGAGAAGGACCTGGCAGCCCTCTCCAGTATTCTTGCCTGGAGAGTCCCATGGACGGAGGAACCTGGCGGGAGGCAGTCCACAGAGTCGCCAAGAGTTGGACACGACTGAGCGACTAAACAACAGCCACCATCATTACTCTTCTTTGGAATAATATTTTAATTGTGACATTATCTGAGAATTAGATCTTATTTTTCCAAGACAGTTATATGAGTTGAATCTATACTCATCAGTCTGTGGATTTAGGTCTCCCTGTCTATAGGTGTTGGCACATTGGAGAGTTAATTCGCTTCGCCTGCTTTTTCATGTTGGATACACAGATGTAGTCACAGTGTTATGTTTGTGGATAATTGAGAATTTGGTTCTAGATGCCTGAGGTTTAGTTGAGTGATGTGGGTGTGAGACAGAGCTACAGATGCAGCTCACCGAGGATGGGGGCATCCCTTGGGCAAGGCGTGGGCATGGAAAGACTTGGCCTTCTCCATCCAGGCTTTCCCTGAGGTTTATCAACCCTCTCTCCACACTGGCAGGTGTATACTGCATCCCGAGTTCACTGTGGTTTAGGATTATGCTCAGTTGAATGGGTTATTTCTTGACAAAACCCCAAATTAAAAAAAAATCCAAAAGTTCTCCCATGGGCAGTATTAGTCCTGAGAAATGTTTTTAGGTCGCATGTGTAGAAGTGAATAAGGACAGCAGTGGGCAGGGCATGGTTTTCTCCAGCGCTGTCACAGGCATGACTATGCTGTCTTCATCTTCCAATGCCCTCTTTCTAAAAAATGCCTGAAAAGCCCTTATTAGTTTATTTTGACTTTAAGGTAAAGTCTGAGCCTTCACCCCCTCACATTCAAACTTGAGCTTCACCGACTTCTTCGTGCCTCCTTCCATTTCAAATTTCCACCTCTCTTCTCCACTCCCTCCCCGCACCCCACACCTGCCTTGGCTATGCAGCGTCCCCCTCCTCTTTACTCTTGAACCATCTTCAGGAAGTTAGTCTATAAAAAATGTTCCTATGTAATGATGTAATATTCGTAGTTTGTCCTCATGCATGGAGTAAACAATGTACGATTTATATACAGAATGTATCATGTTCAATCAAGTGAAAGTGTTAGTCTGTCAATCCTGTCTGACTCTTTGTGACCCCATGAACTGTAGCCTGCCAGGCTTCTCTGTCCATGGAATTCTCCAGGCGAAAATACTGTAGTGGGTTGCCATTCACTTCTCCAGGGGATCTTCCCCACCCAGGGATCCAACACGGGTCTCCTGCATTGCAGGTGGATGTTCTACCATCTCAGCCGCCGGAGAAATCCCTGTACATTGCAGGGTACATTGCAGTGGGGCAGGTCACTGAACATACAAAGTACCCAGCAATGGGATCCTCTAGAATTTGTTGTTAATACTGACATAGCACATGACAATAATAGGTTACTCTTTATGTGCAGCTTTCAGGGAACAGTTTAGGTACAGTTTCCGCTTTGATTGCTGATGGAGGAGTTGGAGCGTCTTCCTTGATGTCTCGTGGGCAGGTTTTCCTCCTTTTCTGGTCTGTAAGACCAGAGTGATAAATCAACTGCGAAGACTCTTCAGTTTAGAAGATTATTTCCAATTAAGGTTGTGAGTAGCCTAAGTAAAGAATAAGCAAATAAAAGATTGCGACTTCCCTGGTGGTCCAGTGGCTAAGACTGTGCTACCAGTGTTAACAAAAAGGTTAACAGTATCCACTTCTGTGTGGGAATCAGATTAGACTGCTTGAGAGTTAGGACGTTGCCTGGTGAATATTTCCATCTCCAGGAGAGGCGTCAAGCCTTATGCGCAGTAGGTACTTAGTAGGTGCCTAGTAGGTGTTTGCGCCACGTGGGGTCTGGTGCAGAGCAGGTGTGGCTGCTATCAGGAGAATGCCCCTCCAAGTCAGGTGCTGCTTTGTCTGGGGGAAATTTTATAAGACATTTTTTCATTTTTGCTGGCCTTGTCCCACTAAATAATGCTGATTAGAGGAAGGAACATCATAAAGTAGCCTTTTGAAAATTGTACCCCATCTTCTTAAAAATCCTTTTTTTTGTCTTGCAGCTCGGAAAAACAATCACCATTTTGAATCTGATGTTGAAGAGAGCAAAGCGCTAATTTATCAGTACCGTCCAATTTACACTGGAAACGTTTCTTCGTTCCAGCAAAGTTACATATTTGATTGAAAGGCTTTGCTGTGTTAACAGGAATTCTGATTAATTCCCTGAGTAAACTGTTATAATAATGAAAAACGTGCTACTCGTGGCAGTAATAGGTCACAGAGATGCCTTTTCTGTGATGTTACTGACTCTGATTCTTCATTCAGTATTTTTGTGTATCACATTTGATAATCAGTGAGACACATAAATAATCATAGCGTGTTTCATGGAAAAGCTTTGTTTTATTTAAAGATTAGGAAATAAATTTATTGAAAATACAGATGTTTTATTTTTTCTGATTCTGGCAATACCACTCCCTAAGCTGTCTACCTACCTCATCCTTGCTGGACTGTTTTTATTTCTTAATCAATTTTTATTGAGGTATAGTTAACATACAGCATTATATGAGTTTTAGGTGTGCAATATTGATTTGATATTTTTATACATTACAAAATGTTCACAACAGTCTAGTTACCGTCTCCATAGAATGTTGTTACAATATTATTGGCTATAGTTTCTGTGTGTACATTACATCCCCCTGGCTTCCTTATTTTGTAACTGGAAGTCCTTATCTCTTAATCCTCTTTACCTACTTTGCTCAGCCCTCTGTCTTTCTCCCCTCTGGTGACCACCTGTTCATTCTCTGTAACTGTTTCTGTTTAGGTATGTTTATTCATTTGCTTTATTTTTTCTAAATCCCAAATATAACTGAAATCATACAGCATTTGTCTTTCTTTGTCTAACTTATATCAGTGTAATGACCCTCCAGATCCATCTGTCTTGTCACAAATGGCAAGATTCCTCTCTTTTTTTATGGCTGAGTAATCCTGTGTGTTGGACTGCAAGGAGATCCGACCAGTCCATCCTAAAGGAGATCAGTCCTGGGTGTTCATTGGAAGGACTGATGCTGAAGCTGAAACTCCAGTACTTTGGCCACCTCATGCGAAGAGTTGACTTGTTGGAAAAGACTCTGATGCTGGGAGGGATTGGGGGCAGGAGGAGAAGGGGACGACAGAGGATGAGATGGCTGGATGGCATCACCGACTCTATGGGTGGGCATGAGTTTGAGTAAACCCCGGGAGTTGGTGATGGACAGGGAGGCCTGGTGTGCTGCGATTCATGGGGTTGCAAAGAGTCGGACACGACTGAGTGACTGAACGGAACTGAATCCTCTGTGTGTGTGTGTGTGTGTGTGTGTGTGTGTGTAGTACAGATACATATTTCTGTTTCTGCTGTTTCAAATCCATAGTTGAGACAGAGTCTGTGTTTTGAACTTTTATTTCTCAGTGCTCCCCATAGCAGTACCTTGATAAATGTTTGTGACTATTCGTGAATGTATCTTTTTTTCCATGGAAAATGATTCAAATGCTGTCATATATTTGCTTGGGTATATTTTTATCTATTTCTTAGTCTGTGCTTCCCTCTTCCACCCTTTACCATCCCAAATACCCTCAAAAACACTTGAAGTTTAGGAATACCTTGAGGGCAACCAAGCAGTTGGAGAATTTTTTTTTAAAGCTGTTTCTGGCAGCAGGTAAGTATTTGCTCTTCTTGTTCTCCTGGAGATACTGCTGGAGAGGGAAGCATGGGAAGCTGAGTGACTGGGCAAGATGCTGGGGAAGATAAGGAATGATTTGATGTGCAGAAAGATAGGAGCAATAATTTGAAGATACTGGATCAGACCATAAGCTTTGGGCAGTAAGGCCACACAAAACATAGAAATTAGAGGTTAGCCCATTTAATCACTTGAGAGGACCTTAACAGGAGTATGGGAGATTTAGTTTTTGTCCGTGAGCATGAAGATTGAGAGTTGTTTTCTCAACTGTGACATTTCTGACTAACTTCACATCTATTTATCAATTGGAAAAGGTAGTGACACAGTAATGTTGCCTGGAGAATCCCGTGGACCAAGAAGCCTGGCTGGGCTACAGTCCGTGGGGTCACGAAGAGCCGGACACGACTGAGCGACTTAGCAGCCGCAGCAGCAGCGGCGCTGTTGTTACTCACCCTCCCTGGGCTCTGCCAGCCCGTCTGTTGAATTATAGATCTGCTCATTTCCAAAGTTCCCTAGTAACACTGAATCCAGATGGCATTTTAACTCATGGTGCTGTATCAGCCATCTTCCTGCCCATGAACACTGGCTTCTTAATGCCAAATTTCTCACGGTCACGGTGACCACAAATGCAGGAAAATGTGGACCGATGATGTTTTTCTTGACTCATGTTTTCCATTTTCCCCAACCGTGTTATCTTTATGCTGGAAGCAACTTTATTCCAAGAGCAGAATCTCTTGCAAAGTTGACAGCACTCCTGCCTTCCCCACGCCACCGCCAGGGTGCTCGGCAAGAGGCCTAAGGGCAAGTGAGGAGAGTTCTTTTCAGGAAAGGTATTTGTGTCCCATGTCAGCGTGGCTGGAGACTGACCCAGAGCAGCCTGACGTGGCTTCGTTAGGACAGCCGGCGGAGAACGTGGCTGAGAAGGGCCTGCTGATGTTAGTGAGCATCAGTCAGGAAGCCCTGGGAGGAGATGGGCGGCTGCCACTGGAGAACTGTCTGACACCCAGGAACCTGGGGAAGGGGTGCCAGCGGCCGGAGGCGTGGAGGCCGGCAGATGGGTGCCACCCTGCCACTTCTGCATTCTGTAAATGGTAGCTGACACTAGTTGGAGAAGGAAGAGCCAGGACATGGGCACGCGTGGTGGTTCCAGCCCAGGGGCTGGCGAGTCTCCAGCAGCTGGATCCCTGAACTTGCCCTGTTCCCATCATGAGAGTCACTGGGAATCAGCAGGTCAAGGGACACCCCTGGTGGTCCAGAGGTTAAGACTGTGTGTCCAGTGCAGGGGGCCTGTTTTCGATCCCAGGTAGGGAAACTAAAATACCACATGCTGTGTGATGCCACACACACACAAAAAAGCATTTTGACATCACCATTCTGCTCACAAATCTCTCACAATCCTTTGAGAGAAAAAATACTGTGCTTGCCAGGTGGCCCTTCTGGCGCCATCCTGTCACCATGACTCCCAGAGCAGGGGGCCTGTTGTTGAGCCAGGAATGGGGAGGTGTAGGGCAGCACCCAGAAGGGGAAGAGTGGGAGGCAGGGCCCGTGGAGCTCCCAAAAGGCTCAGAGTGGCCTGCCGGCATGGCCCTGCCCTGGCCGACTCCTCCCCTTATGAAACAGTGAGGTGTGTGCATCCTGGGACCGTGGCCCACATTTGACCAGCTCCGGGTATGGGGTGCTTCACCCAGAAAGCACTTCTGCCCCCAACGGGTCTCAGGCACTGGAAAGGGGCTTAGACAGCTTGGCGGAAGGTACTGATCGGTCTGGGAAACTTTGAGGAGCCAGGTCTGAGCAGGGGCTTCACTCACCTGAGGGTGATACCACCTGGCTCACCACGGGCCCAGGGCCAGCTGTGGCTGAGAGGGTTAAGTAAGAGGCCTTAGAAGGTTTGTTTCTGAGCACAAGTGTGGATGCCATACTCCCCACCGTGGTTGAAGAAGGCAGCCCTTGGTGTCCCAGGACCCTTGCCTTGAGCCTGTTAAAGGTTGTAACTGGGAAAGGTTAATTTTGAATTCATGCTGGATCTGCTTCTGTGACTTTAACCCTCATCTTGCCACTTTTATGAAAGAAAGTGTTAGTCACTCAGTCATGTTGGACTCTTTGTGACTCCATGGACTGTAGCCCACCAGCCTCCTCTGTCTATGAGATTCTCCAGGCAAGAATACTGGAGTGGGTTGTCATTTTTTATAAACATACATCATGGCCTGCCTCAGGGAGATAACCTGTGCCACCTACCTGTGAAGCACTGTGAGGAAGTGAAACTAACACATCCCCCCAGTCTGAGGCTCGCCGTTCTAGGGGACATTTGCAAGGATTGAACAGTCTTTTTCCTTTGTTTCCTCACCTCCCACCATCTCTGATCCATAAAAGAACCTGGCATCCAGGCCCAGACACGATGGTTATTTTGAGGCACTAGCGTGCTATCNTGTTAGAATTATTTGACAAAGATTTCAAAGCAGCCATTGTAGAAATTCTTCACTGAGCAATTACAAGCGTATGAAACAAATTTTTTAAAAAGGAAACCTCAGCCAAGAAATAGAAGATACAATGTTATACTGTGTATGCTTCTATTAATTAATATAACATAAATCTTGAAATGATAAATTTATAGAAATGGAGAACCTGGTTGGTCATGATTGCCAAAGGTTTAGAGAAGAATAGGATAGGAAGAAAGTGGGTGTGGCTATGAAAGGAAAAATGGGTGTGATGGTTGGATGGTATCATTGACTCAATGGACATGAGTTTGAGTAAACTCCGGGAGTTGGTGATGGACAGGGAGGCCTGGCGTGCTGCAGTCCATGGGGTCACAGAGAGTCGGACATGACTGAGCGACTGAACTGAACTGAGCAGCCATCAGGCTGCTGCCACTCCCTCGGTGAGCCCTGAGGAAAGTCGGGATTTGAAAACACAGGATACTGGCCCCAGATAGCTGAGGTGCATATCTAAGGAATGATTTCAGTGAGCCCAGACTCTTCCGTCTTCCCATACACAGAAAAGCACTAAATTCCTTCATTCAGAGATATCTGGTTTTCTTTAATTAACAATCATCTTTTGACGTTCAGACTACCTGCCCTTTGTTGCAAAACTTCCATATAACCTGGCTCTCCCCGTCCCCGACCTCGGTTCTCTCAGGGTTACTTGAGATGCTGCCTCCTGGACTTGAAGTCCTAAACATTCCTGCCAAATAAAACATAACTCTCAGCTTTTAGGTTGTGAATATTTTTTTAAGTCAACAAAAAAAAGATTTTTCACTCCTTAGAAATTTCATTATTATTTAGCTTGTACCTTTATTCAAATTTTCTTCTAAAATTCCATGTAGCATTTTCATTCTCACAGTTTTAAATTAGCGGAAATATTTTGCAGTAATGAATCAGGAACACTAGAGGTCAGGAGAGAACTGGCTAACCTGACGTTTAACAGGCTGTGTGAACATTCAGCATTTTAGGGTAGTAAATTTTATTTGGCTTCCTGATGCAAAGAGCTGACTTACTGGAAAAGACCCTAATGATGGGAAAGATTGAAGGGAAAAGGAGAAGGGGGTGACAGAGGATGAGATGGTTGATGGCATCACCGACTCAATGGACATGAGTTTGCAAACTCGGGGAGATAGTGAAGCACAGGGAAGCCTGGCTTGCTATAGTCCTCGGGGTTGCAAACATTCAGACAGCACTGAACGACTGAACAACAACAGGATTCTATGGGTCATTTGGTTGGGGCGGGTAGTG